ACAAAGTCTAGGTACCGAAGAGTAAAACTCATCAGAACAATTACTCTGAAACTTTTTTTTAGAAATTTTTAGAAAATAGGAGTAATAACTTTGCAGTTTCTTTGTATTTTACCAAGAATTTTTAAATATCTAGCAGAAGCTCTAGGCAAGATATGACAGCAATATTCGATATATGGACTGATTGTAGACTTATAAATGTGTAAGATCGATTTTAGCTGGAAAATTTTCTCGCATGATGGAGTTAAACAACATTTCTAGCCGTACTAGAAATTGTCAAATAATTAAAATTTTCTTATTAAGCAAATTGATTTTTAGAAAGGTATCTAATTTCTTCTGCTCGTCACTGTATATGTAAATAGATACATTCTATAATTGTTCACAGATGCCCATACCAATATATATGAGAACGAATGAATTTAATTTTAAATCGCTCTATTTTTACTAGCATGAATATTCAAACACATACATAGATTGATGTGGAGAGACGATCAAATAAACACAAATGCATTACAAGCAAACAAACATATTTTTACGCTATTTCAATGATACGTTATTGTTCGGATAATATCAAATTTATAACTCGCGTCTTTTGTTAGATTTTTTTTTATCTTGTTTTCAAACTTCTTTCATCAAACGGGATTAACCAGTTCGTTTACAGTATATTTTTTTTTATGTATATATTTCCTAGAATATCGAATATAAAAGGGTAGAATATATGAGTACCTAGAGACTTTTGTGAACGGCGTGAACCTCGATTCAAATGAAATGGTATGCGAGAAGGTGGAAGTATAAAGAAATTCAAGCTTGGATAGGTAACCCGGCACTCATTGATAAAATTCAGATAGAACGAAAATGAGAGAACGTGATAAAACGTATCAATCTTTACTTTTTGTACCTTTCACATCAACTCACTCCTAACAGAGCGAGGCAGACTGATATAGATAGATAGACAGATAGAGAGAGGGGGAGCGAGAGGTGAGAGACAGATGCGGGCAGAAATGATCTAATCATAATTCATCGAGAATATGCCTCAGATATAAATAAGGATAAATAAAGGCGATGAAGGATTCATGTCAGTTATTCTTCTAAGATTGATTCAACGCCGGATAAACGTACAAACATTCATACATATATATATAGGCATATATATATATATATATATATATATATATATATATATATATATATATATATATATCAATGTGTAATCTGAAACACAAGAAAGACTCACACACACATACACATATATATATATATATATATATATATATATATATATATATATATATATATATATATCGATCTCATGTATATATGTTTTGTAACACGTAATAAATATAAAACGATAAAGTGCTCAATGCTTAGTTACAGGTTGTTACACACACACGCGCAGACACAAACACATATACACACACATATATATATGAGTGTGTGTGTATCTGTGTGTACTTACACACACACACACACACACACACACATATATATATATATATATATATATATAGATATAGATATATAGATGTGTATGTATATACAGACACAAGCATATATATATATAATTCGACAGACGTATATATATATATATATATATATATATATATATATATATATATATATGTACGAACACATATATTAATATACATATTAATACATAAATTATATTTGGATATATATATATGTGTGTGTGTGTGTATGTGTGTATGTGTGAAAATATATGTAGTTACTTCCATATGCCTCAGGCAAAAACAGAAATAAAATAGTTTTAAAGAGACTGAGGTAGATAAGTTTATCTTACTCCACTACAAATACTTTACGTGTTTACTCTCTCTCTCTCTCTCTCTCTCTCTCTCTCTCTCTCTCTACATATATATATATATATATATATATATATATATATATATATATATATATATATATATATATATATATACATATATATATATATATATATATATATATATATATATATATATATATATATATATATATATATATATATATATAGATAAACACTTTTTGTAATGCATATAAATGTACAAAAAATATATACAAATATATTTATCCTTGTATAGATACTTGGAGATAAGATTCTGTGTGTTAACGATTACAAGCACACACACGCATATATATAATTACGTATGTGTATATGTGTTTGTGTGCCTCTGTATTTGGAGATGGAATTAGATTTGAATTTCATGTCATGATTCAATGTGCAAATAAAGCACAGATCGTAACTAAAAAAGCTGACTAATGCTTAAAATCCAAAGTAAACAAAGCTATAGAAACCAATTAATAAGGCAAAAGTTATGAGAAAAAGGCAGGAGAACTATTTGAAAGCGGAAAATATGTAAGAAGGAAAGTAAGGACGAAAGGAAGGACAGTAATAAGGAAAACATTAGGAAGGAAGGATGAAGGAAAGAAAGTAAAGAGAGAAGGAAGGAATGTAAAGGATCAAGGATCAAGGAAGGAAATCCAGAAAGTATTAAGGAAGGAAGGAAAATCGAGCAGAAAAGAGCGAGAACTGAGGATCAAGTACATCAAAATAGAATCCTGTACGTTCGCAAA